TTTTTGTATTAGATAAACATGTGAATTTCTTTCCTTATTTAAGCTATATGATGTTCAAACTGGTTTCAGCAGCTTCATGTAATGAATTTGAGTTATTTCTTTTGCTAGTCTCAGGACACTCTTATGGAAACACATTTACATATCCCAAAGGGTTTGCAGCATTCTGCAAAAATTTATGAAACTGCTGTTTGCTTTAAGTAAAATCTGTCTAATTCTTCTTAATGTTTTAATTCATATCATCTATTCTGGAGCCAGTTTTAGTTAGCTGTAATTTCCTGGAAATGTTTCCATTTCATCAGAATTTTCTTTCTATCTAAATAAATTTCTCACAATGTTCTCTTTTAGTATTGTATATCTACAATAGTTAGTGCTGGTCTCCTTCCCCTTTTCATTCTTGCTGGCTGTTTTCTGTCTGTTTTCATTCTTCCTAATCTAGCTCAGCAGTACTTTGTCAATTTTATAGGTCTTTTCAGAAAACACATTTTGGCTTTGTCGATTTTCTCTGTTGTATCTTTGTTTATGATTTAATTAATTTTTACTCTTATCTTTATTTATTTTTTCTGGGTTTCTTGTTTTGTTTCACATCTGAACTGGAAACACAAGCTTAATTTTTTAGCTTTTCTTCCTTCTGAAGATAAGCATTATATGTGATAAATTTCTAAGTATTTTCTATAGCTAGATCCCTCAAGTTTTGTTCTTATTTTATTATTTCTCAATTAGAAGAAAGTTTTTACTTTTAATAATATTTTATTCATGACCCAGGAATTATGCAGATGTCAGAGTCAACCTCAAGAGAAATTTTCTATCACCTACAGTAGGGACTAGTATTTTTTGTTTTTGTTTTTGTTTTCACTTATCCAACAAAGTGATAGAATTTCAGAGATTCCCAACCTCTTTCAAGGGTCTCTTATGTGACTTTCCAACTAGTAGAACGCAAGTTCATGGTCTTTCAAAATTCAAGGTCTAGGCCATAATCAAAAAGAATTTCCCACACTCCAAAGCAAAATGCTGGTGCTAGCTGGCCAGTCTGGATTTGTGCTTTGTTTGTATCTACACTCAAGGAACTGGCCTAATTCAGCTAACAGATTAATTATGCATGCAAAATATGTTATCAATCATTTTCAGTTCTTTTGATTCATTATACTCCCAAGAGCCAAAAATATTTTAAAAATACTTCTAGATATCAGTGACGTACCTTTTCCCCTTAACTCCTTAATGCTAACCTGACTGGTAGAGGTTCTATTTTCTCCTCTAACTGAAAATGTAATACCTTAGGACTATATTCCCCCTAAATCACTATTTTTAGTCAAGGGCAACATACCTGAGGAAAATCTACACTAGGTTTAGACAGCTACTGAAAGAAGGAAATACACACATACACATTTTTTTCTCCTGTTGCCTTCTTCAGAAAAGATTTGAGCAGCTTATTATTTAAATTTGTTTCTGGTAGCTTCCCTTACTAAAAATTCATAGCCCATTTAAGAGTTAGATAAAATAGAGCCTTGTAGCCCATGTACATAAATTTCTAGTTGAAAAAAACAAAAAAAAATAGTAAGAGAAAAATAATTACTTTCTCTCCAGTACCACAAAATACCTAATACAACGTTCCTGGATCCATTCTCTCCTTCACTGATATTTACCTACCACTTACTATGTATGGGATGTTATTCTAGGTAGTGAGATATAACAATGAATAAAGAACATATGAAAAAGGATACAAAAATGAACATATAAATAAAAGAAGCAAATAACATGACAGTTGTATGAAAATACCGTGTTGCTGTTATCTTCCTAATAGAGTAAAGATACAAACTCTTGTGTTCTATGGTGATGATAGCTGCTTTTTCTCTCTACACAGGAAAAAAATGTGCCTTAATGGACGTAGAAGTTTTCAAAGCAATTTCCACTGGCAAAGTTTCTTGCTTAAGAACATTTTCAAAATTCTATTAATCTACACTCAACACTTCTCAACTCTCATTCAGTCACAAATGCAGAAGAAACACCCTATAATTCACATTGGCCTTTTTAATAAATCAATCGATTTAGCCTGTACAGTGTTTTAATTCAAATCCTATTTTATTCACCAATAAATCTCAGGTTTCATATCCACAACCAGCCATGGGCCAGAATGAAAGATTTAACAAAAGCCTCCGCATGATAGTTGTTGAGTAAGCATTCTGATACATTTCCACACTATAAACATTTAATGAGACTTGCTCCCAACAGAGTATTTACTACATCAATTTATTTCATAGTATTATATTTGCAGGAACAAAATAGAGCAAAGGTTATTTTAGATCCCTTACCAGTACAGCTTCCTGTAAATAATGAAAAGTGCAACCATTTAATTTACAAAATCATTTAAAAAGGTTAAATGTTCAATAAATTCGGCTTTATCTAGTTCAGACAGCCTCAGCAGCTATTTGTAGCTTGGACATAAAAAATGTGGAAAATTTAGGCATGTTGTACCAGTTTGTGCCTCCCTAAATCTGACTGCAACTGAATTTCAAAGGTTGTTAGGACTTTAGGGAAATGTTTTCAGACTTCCACTTTCCTGGTTCAGATGTGGTCTGCCATGTAAAGGACCTTTCTAGAGAAAGACTCCTATTCCATCCCTATGCCCACTCCCACTGAAGCTACACATATTCTTTCCCCTTCTCCAACCTCTGCCATTTCTTGCCATAGCCTTCATTTTAAACTCAGAAATAGAAGTCTCAGAAAGAGAAACAATTTGGAAACCTTCCGTCTTCTTCTAAAATTCTAAGACTGTGAAATGTAGTGCCTGGGATAAATCAGATTCCTTATGGAAGTATCCTCTGGCACAATTCTATTTAATAGGTGAACAATATGCTATATACTGCTATCCATCTACTCCGGAAAATTTCACCTCACTCCACTAGACACACCCAAAGTCCATATTATTTCTATTTAAATGATTCCACCAATAGTGTCTTATCCAGCAAAAAGTCATTTTGATTTGTTTATATTTATAATCTTTTAATGGTTTATATAAACTAAAAACCATCACATGAATTATGTTGAATTTTGACTAAGTACACCAAGTTCCAGCTATGAAAATTCAATGAAGCACAGAAATTCTTCTGATATGTGAGATAATAGACTCATATCCTGTCTACTACCACTCACCAGCTTCCTGAACAAGTTATATAACTTATGCCACAGTTTTATTTTTGTAAAAAATATCTTATAGTGATACTAATAATAAAGTAAGTAATTAATGTAAAATGTTTGTCATTGAAGATATGCTATTTAATTTATTCAAGGCCTAATATTCAACTAGTATTTAGATGATATCTATTAGCATCAACTAGCATCCTGGTATAAAAAAAGTTTTTACTTTGTTATGAAGACAAGATATTCATCTAATGGAAAACATTATTGAGTGTGCATTATACAGGGGAAACAATTAGATGAAGAGGTATTGTTGAAGTTGTTGTTAATCTTGTGAGTCATTAAACAAATAGTTCTCAAAATTGTTGCATAGATAATAATTAGAAATTTAATAAATTTTTACATGTGTCTCAATATTTAGGAATCTAAGAATGTCAAGTTAGAAATTAAGACACCTATTTAAAGACATGTAACTAATGGAAAATATTCTAAATTTAAGTATACTAGTTATATAATAAGTATATCATGAAATGAATAATGTTAGGCACAATATAGGCATTGTACATGTCTTGTTTCATTTTTTAGTTACTAGTAAAATTTCAGTAATTTTAATTTTATTGACTTACTTACCTTGAAAGATTTTGCTTCTAAGTAGTTATCTGCATTAATAGTATTAAAAACTAAGATTGAGCACTTACTATGTGGTGTTACTTTAAGTATTTGTACATGTATTATTAAATCACTGATCCTGACAATAACACAAAGTTACAGGATTTGTTATTATCCAATGCTATGAGTAAGGAAACTCAGAGTCACCTAAATAACTTTCCCGATGTGAAAGGAACTGAGTGCTACATCTAGGCTTAAAACCCAGGAAATTCGGCTCCAGAATGCATATCCTTAACCTCTATATTATGCTGCTTCCCGTAAAGGAACTACAGCACATGTCTGACTGGAACGGCCAGTGATCTTTGATACAATAGTGAAGGTCTGAAAATATCTCAAAGTCAACATATTTAAGAATGAGTTTCTGGTTCCCATTACCACCTTCACCTATCCAGTTAGCCGTTCAAGCAAAACACCAAAAAAATTTTTTTTAATAAGTTAGATGTACAAGACAAAATGTCATATGGTTTCTCATATCATGCATGAGAATATATATATACAAACAAAGAGCAAAATAGAAGACAGATAAATAGGAAGTTTGGAGAAGTTCAAATTATCCCACTAATTACCTACCCTTTTGTTTCCAAAATAATTTGCTATCCTAAATTGTTTCATTTATACTTCTAGTTCCTCGCAGTTCATTGAAAAGAAAGTGTTGTGCTCTTACCTGTTTTTTGCTTATAAGGATGTTTTTGTCTGTTTTCTACTTTGAAGATGATGATACACAGTGTATTAAGTATTTCTACCCTTGCATTATTTTGTTAGGAAATTTTGTTGTATTTTTAATAACATAAATTTAAAACATATAAGCCTTTGTGAAGAGCAGTGATCAGATATATCCTGAGCCTATAGAGTAGTGCCAATCATATAAATTTGTAGACTGAATAAATCCTGTATTTAACAAATCGATCTATGTTTTTAAAAAAGTCAATTCAATGTAATAAACAATTCCATTTTAAATTCACGGGCTTCTTTGGTAGAGAGGCAACAGGAATCGCACATCTATTCATACAATAGTTTGTTAATAATTCATTAGAGGCACAGTAAGGTCATAGACACTGATGAAATAACTGAATTTTTCTTTTTTTAATATTCTAAATTCCAGCACATGTATCTAGAAGACTATTTCTGGTTTTTGTTTTGGTTTTTGGTTTTTGGTTTTTGGTTTGATCAAATCACATTTTGTCTGTCCCTTAGCTTACCTCCAGTTCATCAAGTGCACTTCCCAGGGTGGCTGCCTGGGGTTCAGATGGTGCTGCCATATTCTCAATGCCTTGGGAAGCCTTTGAAATCACATTGAGGGCATTCTGAATTTCTTCACAAACTGTGTCCTTGCTGGCTTTGAGGGAAGCAACATCTGAATGCTCCAAGCAAGCTGAACAAATTGAATGCAAGAGAGGGGAGTTCTCCTTCAACTTGGCCCGGGCACCTGCAATTTCATCCCTCTGGTTTGGAGACTTTAAGTCCTGAAAAGACAAATAAACTGTGGTTTATTTCAGTGGATTATATGAAAACCTCAGTCACAAAAGCTCCATTTTCTTGTCAATATAAATGAAAACAGACACTGAAACATAAGTTATAAATCAATCAAAAGAATCAGTTAATTTTATATTCTTCCAAATTCTACACTAGGAAAAATGAACAGTTCACAAAGAAAGGTCACAAAGGTACAGATGTGTAAAATTTAAGTAGATCTTAACACCTGTAAGTCATTATCTTTGTAGATCACTAAAGAATCCTGGCATTCACATTATTAAGTATATTACTAAGAGATCTTGAATTACAAGGATATTGATTATTGAAATTAAATTTTTATTTAAACAAAAACAAGTAAGTTAAAAACATTACATTAAACTTCTCACTACTCAGTTTTGTAAATACTAATAAATTAATTTTGGATCTTTCTTTGTTTGATATGTTTTCCAACAAATTTTGAGCACTTAGTATTACTAACTTTTTTGATGGGCTCCCAGTGTTCAAACGTGAACAGCCCCACAAACAAGGACCTTGTTCTCCCAAAGTTCATGCTCTTGTTGGGGGTAGGGAGTGCACAGACAAACAACACAACTACTGAAGACAATTTAATTATAATGCTATGTAATTATAAATGCAGTGAAGAAAATATAAAAGTGAAATATCATAGAAATTGACCTGAAAGGGGAAAATTGCCTTAATTTGGCTCAGCAAGGACATTTGTGTGGAGAAGACAATTTGAAGTAAAATCAAAATGAAAAACATTACAAACAGAAAAGCAAGAGAAAGGAAAGTCGGAAGTGATATTAGACAATGAAAAATAGCTTAAAATATAGTGAAAAAAATCTGCCAAGCACTAAACTAACCACGTGATGAAGATGAGCATATCAGTAACATCACATGTACACACCATGTCCAGATCACGTACCCTTGATATATTGTGGCCAAGTAGAGTGTGTTACTATTAAATCATGAGAAATACAATAATAAAACAAGATTAAAGAACATCCTATTTAGACACTATTCCTTAAAACCATTGTTATGAAAAACAAGAATAATAATAAACTGTCACACATTAGAGCACATTCAGAAGACTCAACAAATTAATAAATGTAGCACTGTAGATTGGATTCTATAACAAAAAGACTCCATGAAAACCTGGTAAAATCCAAATAAAGCTTATTAGCAGCCATTTATCTTTGTTGTGGCACATTAACAGTGGAGAAAACTGAAAGAGAAGTAAATGGAGACTATTGTCTATGTAACTTTTTTGTAAATCCAAAATATTCTTAAAATTTTTATGTAAAAAATCTAATTCATGGAATTCAAGAAACATTTATAACAGTTTACTCATTTATATATACCTTATATAATCTATAAATACAATTATTAACTCAGCTTAAAAATGAAGAAATGAATGTTTCAAGAGATGCATTCTATAGCCAAGACACAGAGGGAGATTTGTTTTGTTTGCTTTATTTTGTTTTGCTTTGTTTTGTTTTGTTTTTTGGAGCCAGGGTCTTGCTTTATAGTTCAAGCTAACTTTAAACTTCCTGTACAGCCCAGTCTAGGCTCACTCTCATGGTAATCCTCCTACCTCAGCCTCCAAGAGCTGAGATTACAGGTGTACACCACCATGCCCCACCTTCTCTTTATTGTTCCCCTATGTGTTACTCCCAAAGCCTGATCTGTGTTAGACCCTTTCCTTCACTGAAAGAATTTCCTTTATTTGCTATATAAGAATGAGGCCTTGATTTATATATTATGCAGCCTATAGAGTACTTCTGTATAACATCATCACAACATGCTTTGAGGGAGTTAGCCTTCGATAATAAGTCCTATTTAAGTAGGTAAGTATTCAGTGTAAGAAGTTTGAGACCACGTAAAAATAGACTGATATCTAAACCTAAGTCTTCAGATTGTAATCCCAAACTTTTTTTCACAGGACTGCTATCTCTGGATAATGTTGCCTGAGGTTGATAAATGGCTTGTGTTACTATATTTTTACTTGTTTCCCTTCTGAAAATAAAGGCTGTCTGCTACTTCATGCAGGCATTGAGGGAGATTAACTTCCTTACAAGATGCAGGGAGGACAGTTAGAAATAGCTGTCAACTCATTGTTCATACTCACTAATTAGCCAAGAAAAGACATTTTTGTGGTTCACTTGACTTGCTGCAATTTTCTCCTTTTTTTTGGTCTGGGTTATAGCTGCAGATTTTTCATGAGGACTGTGAGCTAAGGGAATTTGTGCATTTTTTGACAGCTGTTTTTCCATGTTAAAAATGAAAATAATGATATTTTTGTCAATCTTCTTATAAGACATGGTACATAACATATTCCAAATGGAATACCTGAGGAAAGAGTGAAGAATTATGGAAATATTTTATTCCTTCAGTTTATCAAACTGGTATAATGCTTTTGTCCTATGATGGTCTTAGAGTTTTCACATTCCCCACAATTTCATAGTAGGACTTATGCTCATCACACTGTGATTTAGAGTCCATTTAATATTTATTTATTTCTATTGGTGTGGTTTATTTTTGCTTTTGGAGATTGGGTCTTGCTATGTATTTCAGGGTAGCTTTGAACTCACTATGATACCCAGGCTGGCCTCAAAATCAAAGCTATCCTCCTGCCTCAGCGTCCCAAATGCTGGAATTTTTAATATTTAGAAATGTTGGATAGCTCCTCAAGGGAACAAAGATATAAGTAGAAATATTTAGGAAGAGTTGAGGAAGACTTTCTGTGTATTATAATATAATCATAACTTACTATGTAATTTCTTCTGAAGTGGCCTATAGATATTTTTGCTTTATTTACAATGGCAGTATCAGGATTTAGGTAGTTTGTGAAAGGTGACAAACTAAACATAAATTGTCACAAAGAAGGTTGAAGTTAAAAGCTATCTCTTTCTCTGCTGGTGGTCATACATATCTTTCTGTAAACTGTGGTAACTTTAATGTAAAAACTCTGAAATTTTAAAAATCTGCATACATTTTGGCTTTTGAGCCCAAACTTTGTCGTCTTTGCCCAAGGCAATTACATTATCCTTAATGAGCACTAGTACTCCAAACAGCAGGTCTCTGAAGCCTGCCAGGAGGCCAGCATTAGTAAGCACAGCAAAAAATAATATATGATGACAATGAATACAAAAAGAGGGGCAAATTTTAGAGTTTAGGTAAAAGATATTAAAAAGGGAAACCATTTACACCTAGTAAATTTGATTTAGTAAAGAGACTCAGTTAAAAGTGAAACTAATGACTGTCAATCTCCTAAACAAAAGGTTGTTGTGACAGTATCTGTAGTTTTTTCATTTTGTTTTAAATAATGATGCCGTGGGTTCAAAGGTTCATATGTTGTCTATTTACACTAAAATTTTAAACAAGGTCAAACTAGAAATTAAATGATAAGGTCAACTAGGGATTTCTCTAGATAGAAAGTTATATAGAATTCAGCTCAAGAATTGATACTTACTTAATATCTTTTTTTAAAATGCTCCAGAAAAACAAGCTCTAGTCAGATTTCCAAGTTAAGGAGACATTAAATGCTTCCAGCTGATAAAGAAACTCACAGATGGAATTATAAAGAAGACCTTACAAGTCTGTGCAAGTGAGTAAGGAAATAACATATGATTTTTAACCCTGGCAAGAGAACAAAATATATTTAGGGATTTTTTTAAAGGTCACATAATAAAAAAGGGAGGACTCCAAATTATCAGTTAATTTATTCAACTGTTCATTCAACAAATATTGTTGAATCCCTACTATACATCAGATAATGTGTTAAGTTTTAGGAATGCAAAGATAAAGAACTCATAGACCAAAAGAAGAGGAAATTATCAAGTTTGTATGGAAAAATAGCTTGCATCTAAATGTTCCCTATGCAAGCCTCAAGCACTCATAGTCAAGGTTTTCAGAGCTAGCTGCATTTAGGTGTGTGACCCTGGAATTGATGGTGCACATTATTAAATTAATCTGCTGATTTGAATTAGCATAGTCCTGGGCGGTACACCTAAAAGGTTGGTAACCTAGATAAGAAGGAAAGGCAGGCTGGCTGCTTGCTACTTACTGTTGCCTTCTGCCTGACACATTAGGGACTATTTCTCCTCTACAATTCCCCATTGCTGTGTCACCCTGCAATGGAGCCAACCAACTACAGATTGAAACCCCTGAAAATTGTGAGCCAAAATAAATCTTTCCTCCTTTAACTTTGGGTGTTGAGTATTTTATCTCAGTGATGAGAAAAGTAACTAAAACAGGAACCAAAATGAAGTTCAGCTTAAAGTTCCTCAATTTGAAGGCATAGAAGAAACTTTGGTAGAAGAAGTGAATCTTTTCAATTTTTGTGGTAAAACTGATAAATAAAAATGGCACATAAAATATGATAATTTAGTATATGTAATATGTAGTGATTTGCAGACTCAATGCATTTAAAAGTTAGCATGTATTTATGTGTTGGGAAAAACACTTAAGATCTATTACCAATATCTTCCCGTTTCCCTCATGTTTTACTACTGGAAACCACTGAAAAAATTCTGTTTCCATGAGTTGGACTCAAATTTCACACAAAAGTGAGATCATAATCTGATTTTCTATGTCTGGTTAACTTCACTTCGTGTAACATCCAAACTGATGCAAATGGCAGGATTTCAGAGAAAGTGAATCTTAAACAGTACACAGAAGTTCTCCCTGTGAACAATACAGACCAAAACAGTGAGTAATGGAAACAGTATGTGCAAAGAAAGACCTGGAGCATGAAGCAGTATGGACCGTGAAGACCACTGCAGGTGGTACTACAAATCCAGAAAACCTGAGCATGAACGCTGATGAATCCCATTGGAAAGGTAGGCAGATGATACCTCACAGACCTGAATATTTTCAAAGATTTCTTTTGCAAGAGTTGAACGGATTAAAGAGGATGGCATTGAAGCCAAGGCAACCAGGCGATAACTCAGGTCTGAATAAGAAACAATGAATGTGTAAACACTCAACA